CAACTGAGCTATGAAGCCACACATTGGGAGCGAGGTCAATTAATTGAGTTCATATCTTCCAATTGCTTAATTTGGAAAATTGAGTATTATTTTATTATTACAAATATAGACCACATAACATGGACGGCCCGAGTTACTTGAATGGAGTCACAAAAATTTCAATTGTTAACCTAGTGTATGCCTTACACTAATTCAGGGGAATTTCAGAGCAGTGAAAGTTCGAATCATTTTCGAAGGTTCCCTCCGCATGGACCTTTCGCCAGGTTGAGAAAACATGATTTTCCAAATATATATAATGGTGATTTGCTCTCCAATGCTTTTGATTAATCTCTCTCGTTATTTTGGCCAATGCAGGCAATTTTTTCTGCCCGGCGCCTTCACGTTTCCCACCTCTTCTTTTCATGTTCTTTTGGAGACACGATCCATACTATTTTAACCAAATATGATAAAATAGTATCATAGGATGAGCAAAAGCACACTCAAAAACAGGTTTTTCAGTTAAAGATTGAAAATTGAGCAAAACACTGCGAAGATTGAAGGGGATTTCTCTACGTACTCGATGTGTAACTTTGATTTCAGGTTGAGGTGAACTCTTTTCAAAGTAAGGAAACTAGTGTCTAGGCCAGCACGCTCCCAAAGCTGACTGTGTCCCTTTAAGCTTAAAAATATCATCCTGTTAAGCACTGTTTGACATGTTTTAGCTTAAGTCAAACAAGAAGATCTTTTAGATCTTATAACCGCACTTCTAAAATTTAATTGGTGTCTTAGCACTACAGTCGCAACGCTGCACATTCCAAATATTCATTGATCACTGTAGGCACCACATCACTTAATCAACACAAACTGTATTATTGCACCATCGCTCTTAGCCTGTGTGAAATCTTAAATTTTACTGTTTTTTCCATGAGTAAAGGGCTAGCAAAGTAGTCACATGAGTCACATAATTCAAGAATTACATTATCAACGGTTATTGTAAGTATGGTGGTTATTTCCCTACCAATGATGTAATCGTGGCACGTTCTGACATGTTCTTTACTTGGCTTGCAAATATTTAATTTTCCTTCCGATCTCTGAACTCACTTCATTTTTACAGCACCACAATTCACTTCTCTTGTCTAAAAATATAAAAAATACTCGGAAAACTAAAAAGACTGTAGCTCCTGGCAAAAGAAACTTGCAAAGTAAACACGATCTTATTTGTCACGTAGCAAAAGTGAAAGATGCAATGTCAACGCATTCCATGGCTGATGTAATACCTTTTTTAGCGTATTTATTATTTCCTTCGTATCCAACGCTTCGATAAAACCAAAAGAAAATATATTTTACACACAATAAAAAAAACATTGTCCGTCTATTAATGTGTCAACAGCTTTTGGCGAATAAACATCACAGGTTGCGTGATTCAAAATTTGGTGGAGAGGAAGTTTGGGTCTGGTCACCAACAAAACTAAAAAAAAAATAAGTAAACAACTTGTAAAACATGAACTGCGCTCGGCCCATGGCTGTATGGTTAATCACTGCAAAAGTTTGCAAACAGTTTCATAGATTTGCCATGCAAAGATAAGGTTTTTGGCAACGGTAAGTTATAAAATCAAAGGCCCCTGTTAGCCAGCTCATGAATGAATTGGATGAATTGGATGAATTGGATGAACTGGATGAATGGAGAAAAGTTACAGTAGTTGAGTGAAAAGAAATGAGGAACTGATCATTGTGAGGTTCTTCTTGGTACAGCAGCGAAAAAACTGGAAAATAAACATCCTTTGATGTATGGGTTCTGATGTCCATTGGCTTCCTATTGACACCCTTTAGGTGGCTGAATTTATTCTCTGGTAAAATCATTTTATAAATTATAAATAATTGTATTACATATTTGAAAATAGATTCCAGCAGAGTGCAACAACAAAAATCAAGATGAACACTGCTGTTAGTAGGAGCATTTTCTTTCTTATTAAGTCCACTGAGATACTAAAAGCTAAGAGGAGACATTCTAGCCAACAGTCTCAGGCTATGCATGCAGATTAAACATTCTTTGC